CCAGGCGTACAGAAAGTATTAGAAGGCAAACTCTAACCTAAGGAGATTAGTTGCACCCACAAAAACACAGGCAGTAGATCATCCTACACCAGCAAATCCCAAAGAAGGGAAACACACAATAGCACCACCACTAACAAAAATAACAGGAAGTAGCAATTATTGATCATTAATACCCCTTAATATCATTGGACTCAATTCGCCTATAAAGACACACAGGTTACCAGGTTGGATATGAAAACAGAATCCCTCCTGGTGCTGCATATGAAAAACACACCTCAACCTCACAGACAGACATTACCTTAGAGGAAAGGGTTGGGAAAAGATTTCCCAATCAAATGGACCTAAGAAGTTGGTGTAGCTATGCTAATATCTACCAAAATAGACTTGAAACTAAAATTAGTCAAAATAAATGAAGGACATTTATAAATCATTGCAGGAAAACTCCATCTGAACATCTGTGCCCCAATTACAAGGGCACCCTCATTTGTAAAAGAAACCTTATTAAAGCTTAAATCACACATCAATCACACATAGTGGGAGATTTAAATGCCCTGTTCTCACCACTGGACAGGTCTACTAAACAGAAATTTAACAGAGAAATAAAGGAACTAACTAGCAGATGTTATGACTCAAATGGGCTTCAAAGACATTTGTAGTACATTACACCCAAACACAAAAGAATACACCTTCTCAGCACCCCATGGAACCTTCTCTAAAATCAACCACATACTCAATAACAAAAGCAAACCTTAAATACAGAAAAATTGGAATAAAATCCTGCATCATATTGATTTTCATGGCTTTAAGTTAGACTTAAACAACAACATTAATTTCAGAAAGGCAACAAATTCATGGAAATTGAACAATGCTCAACCACTGGGTCAAGGAAGAAATTAAAATTAAAGACTTCCTCAAATCAGTGAAAAAGGCTGTATAACATACCTAAACTTATGAGACACAATGAAAGCAGTGCTAAGGGGTAAGTTCATAGCACTAAATGCCATAAAGTAACTGCAAAAGTCCCTCGTTATCAAATTAACAGAACACCTGAAAGCTCTAGAACAAAAAGAGGCAAACTCATCCAGAAGTAGACAGCAGGGAGTAATCAAATTGAGAGCTGAAATTAGCAAAATAGAAACAAAGAAAACAATACAAAGAATTAAAGAGACAAAGAGTTGGTTCTTCCAGAAAAATCAACAAGATAGACAAACTTTTATGCAAGCTAACCAAAAGGAAGAGAAAGAATGTCCTTATTAAAATCAAAACTGAAAAGGGGGACATAACAGGCACTGAGGAAATCTGCAGAATCATCAGGTGATTCTTCAAAAACCTGTACTCCACTAAATTGGAAAACTTAAAGAAAATGAACAATTTTCTGGATAAGTACCACATACCAAAATTAAATCAAGACCAGATAAACAAGCTAAATAGACCTATAACCCATAAAGAAATAGTTATAAAAAGGTTTCCCAACCCCCTCTCCCAAAAGCTCAGGACCAGATGGTTTCATCGAAGAATTCTACCAGAATTTCAAAGAAAAACTAATAACAATATTCCTCAAATTGTTCCACACAATAGAAACAGAAGGAACATTACCAAACTTTTTATGAGACCTTAAATACCCTGATACCCAAATAAAATACTGGCAAACCAAATCCAAGAACACATCAGAAAAACCATCCCCCATGATCAAGTGGTTTCATCCTAGAGGTGAAGGGATGGTTCAACATACAAAAATCCAACAATGTAATCCACCATATAAACAAACTGAAAGAAAAAAAAAAATATGATCATCTCATTAGATCCTGAAAAGGCCTTGGACAAAATTCAACACCCCTTTACGATAAAAGTCTTGTAGAGAACAGGGATAACATGAACATACCTAAACATAATAAAGGAAATATATAGCAAGACAACAGCCAACATCAAACTAAATGGAGAGAAACATAATAAAGGAAATATATAGCAAGACAACAGCCAACATCAAACTAAAAGGAGAGAAAATTCCATTAAAATCAGGAACAAGACAAGGCTGTCGATTCTCTTCATATGTATTCAGTATTGCGCTCAAAGTTCTAGCTGAGCAATATGACAACAAAAGGAGATCAAGGGGAAGGGAAGGGATCAAATTGGAAGGGAAGAAGTCAAACTTTTGCTATTTGCTGATGATATGATAGTATATATAAGTGACCCCAAAAATTCTACCAGGAAATTCTTCCAACTGATAAACACCTTCAGTAATGTAGCAGGATACAAGATTAACTTTAAAAAAAAAAAAAGTCATTAGCCTTCCTATATACAGATGATAAACAGGGTGAGAAAGAAATCAGAGAAATGTCACCCTTTATAATAGTCACAAATGCCATAAAATATTTTGGGGGTAACTCTAACCAAATAACCTATATGATAAGAAGTGTAACTCTTTGAAGAAAGAAATTGAAGAAGACATCAGAAAATGGAAAGATCTCCCATGCTCCTGATAGGTAGGATTAACATAGTAAAAATGGCAAACTTACTAAAAGCAATGTACAGATTCAGTGCAATCCCCATTAAAATCCCAGCACAATTCTAGACAAACCTCAAAGGAAAAAAAAAAATCTCAACTTTATATGGAAAAACAAAAAAATCCAGAATAGCCAAAATAATCCTGTACAATAGAGGAACTTCTGGAGGCATCACCATCCTTGACTTCAAGCTCTACTATAGAGCTATAGTAATGAAAACAGTTTGGTATTGGCATAAAAGCAGGTGGACCAATGGAATCGAATCAAAGACCCTGATATCAACCCACACACCTAGGAACACCTGAACTTTGACAAAGAAGCTAAAATTATACAATGGGAAAAAATGGAGAAAAGAAAGCATCTTCAACAAATGGTGCTGGGATACCTGGAAGTCAACATCCAGATAGATCCATATCTATTACCATGCCACAAAACTAAAGTCCAAATGGATCAAAGACCTCAACATGAACCACAGTGAACCTCATAGAAGGGAAAGTGGGAAGCAGCTTTGAATGCATTGGCACAGGAGACCACTTGTAAAATATAACACTAGTAGAGCAGACACTGGGAGCAACAATGAATAAATGGGACCTCCTGAAATTGAGAAGCTTCTATAAAGAAAAGGACACAATGAATAAGACAAAATGGTAGCCTACAAAATGGGAAAAGATCTTCACCAACCCCACATCTGACAGAGGACTGATCTCCAAAATATACAAAGAACTCAAACTAGACATCAAAATAGAAAATAATCCAATTAAAAAATGGGGTACCAATGTAAACAGAATTCTCAACAGAGGAATCTCAAATGGCCAAAAAGACACTTAAGGAAATGTTCAACATTCTTAACCATGGGAGAAATACAAATCAAAACAACAAACAACTCTGAAATAGCATCTTACAGCTGTCAGAATGACCAAGATCAAAAACACTGATGACAGCTTATGCTGGAGAGGATGTGGAGTAAGGGAAACACTCCTTCATTGCTGATAGGAGTGCAAACTCGTATAGCCACTTTGGGAATCAGTATGGCAGTTTCTCAGGAAAGTGGGAATTGATCTACCTCAAGACCCAGCTATACCACTCTTGGGCATATACCCAAAGGATGTACACTCACACCACAAGAACATATGCCCAACTACGTTCACAGCAGTATTATTCGTAATATCCAGAACCTGGAAACAACCTAGTCAGTCTCTCAACCAAAGAATGGATTAAAAAAAAAATGTGGTACATATACACAATGGAGTACTACTCAGTGGTTTAAAAAAAAAAAATCTTGAAATTTACAGGCAAATGGACAGAAAAAGCCATCCTTAATGAGGTAACACAGACCCAGAAAGACAAATATAGTATGCACTCACTCATAAGTGGATATTAGACATAAAGCAAAGGACAACCAGTTTACAGTCCATAACCCTAGAGAAGCTAGGTAACAAAGAGGACCCTAAAGAGAGAAAACTTAATTGAAAATTTGGGGAATAAATGTAGACAAAAATGGACAGAAATTGGAATCTTATGTTGTTGGTGAGAATTTAAAATGCTGGCTGTTAAAATGCAAACTTGGCATTTTCCCAAAAACTTACAACATAGTTTTAACTCCTGGGGGTTAGGAGGGGTCCCCATCTGTCCAGGTTTGCAGGACAAGCTGGGTACAGATGGCAGCATTGAGAATACTCACAAAATGGAAACAGTTCAAATTTGCTTCTGCCAACAGAAGGGATATATACAATGTACAGCTATACAATGGAATGTTACTAACTGTATAATGTTGAAAAGGCAAAAAATTATAATCACAGCTGAAGCTCAACATGGTGGTGCAAGACTCGTAATGTCCCTGTGGGAGAAGCAGGAGGATGACAAGTTCAAGGCCCTATATAACAGTCACAGGTTTCATAGATTTAGCAGATAGAAGCAAACATTTCATCCTGGGTAAAAACTGTCTTAAGTTCAGCAGTGAACACACTATATCAGAAACTCTAGGATCACACTGGTCTTCTTCCTGAGTGCTGGGTCCACAGTGTTGAATCCCTTTGCCCACCTTGGAGATTTCAGTCTTCATATGTGTGAAAGAAAGCAAATAGCTGAGCACAAGCACAACATAAAGATGGTAGTGATTTTTTTTTTACCATCTCTTTCTGTTGTCTTTAACTCCAGTTAAACCCTCCCTTGAAGGGTTTTGCTGAGTTACTCCTACGGCTCTTTTCTTCCCTTATCCTTACCAAAATTTATCTCCACACCACTCTACCCCTTTTTCTGACATAGTTTTTTTCTGAATTTCAACATGGCCTTTGTCTCAGTTGTTGTGTTTCAACAGAGCATAGCCCAAGCCAGCCAGGAGTACCAGCCAGCTGTTGTGGCCAAGGTATTTTAGACATGGTACAGGCAAAGCAAGAAGACCATTTAACTCATCATAGCTACCCTGGTTTGTATAGCACAGTTCGTTTACTAATCCTAATTCCCATTCTTTACCTCAAGCAATGTGTTTTTTTTCAGATGGCTATTCCTATGAGAGGGAAGCAATGGAAAATTGGATCCACAAAAAGAAACGCACAAGTCCCATGACAAACTTGGTTCTTCCTTCATTGATATTGACACCAAACAGGACTCTGAAAATGGCCATCAATCGATGGCAAGAGATACATCAGAAATGAATTTTTCATATGGTATCGGGTACATTTTTCAGTGATCTCATTCAGTGCTAACTAGACATTCCAAAAGCAAAATAGAAAGAAAAGATATGTTAAAGTTTACTTTAAAAACCGCCAATTATTATTCTTACAGTACAGAATTATACATCTAATGTCATTGCTGTGTCTATAAAAGTGAAAATATTTTTGCACTAATAGGAAAATGTGTAGAAATAAAACTTTACTGTGACTTTACATTGCAATGCCTAAATATGTTATTAGGTGTAGGCCACATCCAATAGTAGCTATACCCTATAGTCATCTAGATTCTATGGATGTTTCCATCTTGAGTAACAGCTATTCAGTTGTTTTCAGTGACCTTCATAATAGAATTTTCATAATATAATTGTAAATTGTTTAATAAATTGGGGGGCCACTCCAGGCATGTTGAATAGCAATTTTGGTGTGTTCTAAGTTTGTAGTATAAGGATTTTTTTCTCCATTATTAAACATCAGATAGTCAAATTAACTTTGCTGAAATACATCAAATGGCAAACCACCTTCCTTTTGAAACTTGGAAGTCTTACGCATTCCCAGTATGTGAGAACTTAGATTCAGACAGTTAGCAACCGCTACACTACCAGCACTGTCCACATCTACTACACAGGAACTGAAGTGCAAGAAGACGGCGTGTACTGACCTCTCAGAACCCTGGCTAGCTGTTGCCCAGAGAGGAGCCATCGGGGAATAGAACACTGTGTCTTTAGCCTTTGTCCTGTTCAGTCAGGCCCTCAAACACTCACAACATATCCAAGAACGTTAGAATGAAGAAATACGGCCATATATGGATATGGTCAGTATCCTTGGCATGGCCAGTATTTGATAAAACCTCTTATTTATGAAAATCTGACCCCAAATTCAGAGATTCACCTGCCTCTGCCTCAGGAGTGCTGGGATTAAAGGTGTCTGCCACCACTGCCAGGCAGGACAACCTTTCTCAAAAACAATGATTTTTATTTTATTCCATGTATTTGCCTACCCTTGTATATTTGCACCATAGAGTGTCTGGTACCTTAAAAGTCAGAAGGCTGAAGTGCCTGTTTCACATATCAAAGTGGACCTGGCCTGCAGGTTCTCCCAGCATCCCTCAGTCCTTACCTGTTACAGGGTATGGCTAGCAAACCCTTCCTCCAGAGGCTCTTGCCCATATAATCCAGACATTTTGGTTACCTGCCTTTTGGACCTTCCTCTCTCTCTCCCCACATGACACAGCCCGGTCTTGTCATGTCCACTCTGGAGTCCCAGAGTGTGCTGGGACTCTACTCATGCTCTCCTACATTTCTATAATAAACTTTCTCCTCCACCAGACCTAGAAGCAGTCATGTCCTCCCCGCCTCCTCTCCCTCTCCTCCCTTCTGTCTTCCTCTCTCCTACCTCTCCTTCCTGTCCCCCTCCCCTCCAGAGCTAAGGTTGGTTTGGAACACTATGTGGATGTCATGAGCAGGTATTCAGGAATCTGATCAGGACTGGAAGCCAGTTTTAGGAAGGGATGTGTTTGACACCAAAGGTTTTTAGACTTTCTGGCACAGGTGAGTCACAGTGGCACTTACCTGTAATTCAGGAGGATCCTGATGCTCAAGATCACCTTCAGCTATATGGCCTGTCAAGAGGCTAGCCTGGGACACTTGATAGCCTGCCTCATAATAAACACAAAATCAACCAAGCAAACAAAAATAAATGCCAAAGAAGGCAATGGAGCCTTATCATCCTAGATGCTACAGGCACTGCCTGGCCTCCTGGTGATTGGCCACCCCACAGACACAACTGGGTCTACCCACATGCAACCTTTAGGGTTGATCTGCAGCTTAAGATGACATACACATATCCCTGCTTGTCTTATCCAGTTTTGTAAATGAGGGGCTGGAGAGGTGTCTCAACAGTTAAGAGTACTGGCTGCCCTTCCAGATGATTTGGGTTCAGTTGGAAGAGCCTACAAAGTGGCTCACAACCCTCTGTCACTCCAGGTCCTGGAAATCCAGCGCCCTCTTCTGGCCTCCACAAATAACAGAAATACACATGGCAAACAGAATTCAGAAAAAAAAAAAAAAATGCTCATATGAATAGTTTGTAAATGAAAAGCACTGAGGATATTTAATTACAAGACTGTCTCAGTCTGTTGTGCGTAAATAAAATACTGATTGGGTAAAAAAAAAAAAATGCTGGGCAGTGGTGGCACACCTCTTTAATCCCAGCACTTAGAGGGAGAGGCAAGTGGATCTCTGACTTCCAGGCCAGCCTGGTCTACATAGTGAATTCCAGGACAGCCAGGGCTATACAGAGGAACCCTGTCCTTAGAAAGAAAGGAAGAAAGGAAGGAAAAAAGGAAGAGAGAAAGAAAAAAATATAAATACACCTTTTACTTTCTCCTATGCCATAAACATAAATTGCCAAATCTAGCTGCCAAAAACAATGTCTGCTTTGGGAGTTTTTAAATGGATACTGAACTATATTTCTTTTGTTTCATAGGTAGATCCTGCCATCTGTTATTGTAGAAGGGAATATATTTTATTCTACGTGATTTACAGTTTCATTGTGAACAGAAATGAGTTCCACAAAATGGTGGAAATCATGCTGTGGTTTCTAATTGTTTTCATTTAGAAGAGAAGTCACCACTGGACCAAGTGTCTCTGTGTATTGTTTGTTTTTAGACTTGCTGGAAGCTGCTAGATTTTCACATAAAAAGTCACAATCACTAAAGTCACTGCTGGAAAGAGCAGTTTAAAAGATTTTTTGATACATTGGGGCTAGAGAAATGGCTTTGTGGTTAGGAGCACTGGATGTCCTCTAGAGGACCTAGGTTCAATTCCCAGCACCTACATGGTGACTCCCAACTGTTTGTAACTCTATTTCCAGGGGACCCATGGCACCAGACATGAAAACTACTAATTTTCCAAGTTCACACTTTATATATAAACAGACAATGCCAAACAACCCCCTTTTCACCAAAAGTGAAAGCCAAATCCATGACCATCTCACAAGAAGGGTCAAGACACCCCTACCCCACCCCCACCCGCTCCACTGGATGCTGTGAGTCGAGGGGTTGGTTCAGGAGTAGCTAGGAGCAGTGTTCAGTGCCCTCTGACCTGGAGCTTCCGGAGATCTCACTTCTGGCCTGGATACTGAGCATGTCCTGTCTTTACCAAGACCAAATCAGAACAGCAACTTCATGTCAGTCCTCACACACTGGTGCTGTCCGGGATAGTCAAGACAAGAGCTACGCATTACTTAGTACTACTTTGGCCCTCTGTTTTAACCTGGAAATAGTGTGGAGGACTGGATTAGGCTTCTAGCAACATTATGGACAAAACAATAACCTAAGTTAATTAGTTTCAGAGTTCAAGTCACTCTTTCCAGGTAGGTGAAGGCTGTCCAGGCAAAGAGTCAATCTATTGGGAGGTGTCCCCTTGTCCCAGTGAACCCCACCTGTACACATAATGCACAGCACCAACTGGATTTAATGGTATTTACATCCCAACCAGTTTCCCCTCTTTCTTCTCCTCCCAGTCCCTTCCCCAGCCCATCCCTATCCACTCCTCATCCATTTCTATTCAGAAAGGGGCAGGCCTCCCAGGGATGTCAACCAAACATGGCATATCAAGTTGCAGTAAGACTAGGCGCCTCCCCACACAGTACTGGATGAGGCATCCCGGTATTGAGGAGTCGGGTCCTAAAAGTCAGCAAAAGAGTCAGAGACAGCCCCTGGAGACGGAACAGCACGTTGACAGGCACACAGGGGAGCTGGAGGAGGGAAACTGGGGGTGTTGTCAAATTTCATTGCATGCATTACGAAATTCTCAAGAAAATTATTGTTAAAAGGTACTTGAGTGTAGCAGACATTAGGCATCATATCACTGATGGTTTTACCTGTTGTGTTTGGTTCTATTCTCTGGGTCATCTAGCCTTTGGGTCCTGGCCCTCCCGGCGGTGTCAAGGGTGGGCTTCCCATCACGGCATGGGTCTAAAGCTGGACCAACCAGTCATTGGTTGGCCACTCCTATCATTTCTGTGCCACCTTTACCCCAGCACATCTTGTAGGCAGGACAAATTGTAGGTTGACGGTTTTGTAGCTGGGCCTTGCCTGGTTCCAGGAGATGGCCAGTTTAGGTTCCGTATCCCCCATTACTAGGAGTCTTAGCCAGTATACTCATAGATTGGTGCCTAGCCCAACTGTCATCAGAGAAGCTTCATCCAGCAACTGATAGATGCGGAGACCCACAGCCAAACGTTAGGTGGAGCTGGAGAAGCCCTGTGGGAGAGAGGGGGCAAGGATTGTAGGAGCTAGTAGGGCCAAGGACCAAAGAAAACCCACAGAATCAACTAAGCTGGTAGGGCTCACAGACACTGAATTGACAAGAAGGGATCCTGCATGGGACTGACCTAGGCCCATGCATATATGTGATAGTTATGCAGCTTGGGCTTCTTGTGGGACTCCTAACACTGGGAGCAAGGGCTGTCTCTGACTCTTTTGCTGACTTTTAGGACCCTACTCCTCAATACCGGGATGCCTCATCCAGTACTGTGTGGGGAGGCGCCTAGTCTTACTGCAACTTGATATGCCATGTTTGGTTGACATCCCTGGGAGGCCTGCCCCTTTCTGAATAGAAATGGATGAGGAGTGGATAGGGATGGGCTGGGGAAGGGACTGGGAGAAGAAAGAGGGGAAACTGTGGTTGGGATGTAAATACACACACACAGTACTTGAAAAATATAGAAATATGCCAACAAGGATGAGTGAGGGATATCTCAGCACTATATGAAGAACTACAGGCAATTAACAGATGCTGAGAGAATTAAATCTCAATGGGCAAGCCCCCAGATAGGATCTCCAGACCTAAACACATATACATACATACAAGTGACAATAGCTGAACTCCAGACAGGTAGGGGTGTGTGTATGTGTGCGCGCGTGCACGTGCACGCACACGTGCAAGCATGCATGTGTGTGTGTGCATGTGTAACAATAATTGAAGGGTTATGAATTTGAGGACAGGGAGTTGTAAAAATACGGATACAGTGCGCATATGGGAAAGTCTCAAAAACTTTAAGTTAAAAAATACAAAAATATAGAAATATTTCAAGTAAGAATTGTATCATGATACAACAAAAAACAATCTCTTGACTGCTTTGAAACTGATCTGTAGTCATCGAGACAGACAGACATTTTTAACTGAAAGATAATGCAAATGTGCTACAAACACCAGCCCTTTCGCTCAGAATATTGCCGGTTATAGGGTTACAGATAATTTGCTGCCAGTAAGCCCGTTAGTACACGCTGGTTTGCCTTGTGCTTCTTTCCTACTTAAGGAAAAGTTGCCAAGTATGATACTATGGAATTTCTAGAAGCTTCCACTTATTCCGAAATGAAAATG